CTAAACGGAACATGAACACTGGATCGTCGTTGAAAGCCCTTGCTTCTCCTCCTCTGATTTCTACCTCCTTAAGACCAAAGAGAAAATCTTTCCCTAACCCTAAATTCTCTCCTAAAACGATTAGATGCATGCTCGATTCTAACATCAATCTCAATTTCGGTTCCAATCCAAACCCACCAACCCATGATTTCCCTGTCTCTTACGCAACTGTTTCCCTCGAAGCTCCCCTGAAAACAACAACAACTTCCGACAAGCTCCACCTCCTCGTATCCGAGTTCCGGTCTTTAACCGAACCCATCGACCGTGTAAAACGTCTCTTGAACTACGCATCAACTCTAACCCCACTCGACGACTCGGCTCGTGTTCCGGCGAACAGAGTCACGGGCTGCACGACTCAGGTTTGGTTAGAGATCAAGATGGACGAGTTTGGTAAGATAAGATTTAAAGCAGACAGTGATTCAGAGATCTCGAAAGGATTCTGTTCTTGTCTTATCTGGATCCTCGACGGTGCTAAGCCAGAGGAAGTGATGGGCGTTAGGAGCGAGGACTTGTCGGTGATGAACGTTGGGGTTCATGGTAAGGCCCAATCAAGAGTTAACACGTGGCACAACGTGTTGTTGAGTATGCAGAAACGGACCATGGCCCTCTTTGTTGATGCTGACGTGGCGCACCGAGAAAGAGACAGACCATCGCATGATCTTTTGTTTGGATACGTTAATGGAAGTTACATGGAATCTTCTTCTTCTTCTAAGCTTCCTGATTACTCCATTTCGTTGCTTCCTTTGTATTATGATTTTACTATATGAATTATGTTTTGCTGTTTCGTTAGAATGTTGTAAAGTCTTTTGGAACATAAATTTTAATTTCGTGTTCTGTATATTGAAAGTCAAAGTTTGAGGATAACCACCTTTCGATTAGCAAAGATTACTAAAAACAAAGTGTGTTACAATAGTTTGATCGAATGGAAAATGATTTGTCTTGTACTCTTGAGTTGTGGGGATAACGGCCTATTCCTCTATGAACTATATTGTTGCTGTTTATTTATACATGAAGTATTGACCCCGGTCTAAACACACATAAACTCCTTTTGTTTTTGAATTTACTACATAATCTTGTAAAACTTTGGTCAATTCACACAAAACCGTTAACGGAGTCAATTTTCCGTTCACGAGGGTGACTCTCCGTTAACAGAGTCCGATCTGATAATTTTTTTTTTTAAATGATCAGTATTCATAAAACGATGTCGTTTTATGAATTAGGGGGAATTTTTTTTTAATAAAAATTAGGGTTTTTAAAAAACTCTTCGATCTTCTATTTCATCAAACTCAATGGATCTTGTAAAATTAGTCACAGTATTCTATTATATTCTGAATCTATCTTTTTTGTTTTGGTTTTTCCAATAATGGATCTTTTTCTCCCCATTTCTGTTACTTTGCCTAGAAAAATCTTCTGATTCGATCGAGATCGCAACATTTGTTTTCCTTTGTTGCGATACGAAGATTCCGAATGAAAATCTAACAATCAACTATGTGTTTATTTTTCTTTGAATTTCACTTGATTTCTCGCTCGATCCTCCATTAACGATGATATCAAATCCAAATCTATTGTCCTACACTTGCATTGCGAAAGGAACCATCTCGCCGAGTTCTTTTCAAAAGATGAGCCAGGAATCGAAGATGTAGCTTTAAGATGCATCGAGAACACGCCTCCACACCATTCAATGTTCTCTCATACAGTACGCAAGAAGACATACACGTTCGCAATCGGTGATTCGTTAGTGTATTTCGCGATTCCAGACGAAAGTATGGAGAAAACCGAATCATTCTGGGTATTGAATCGGTTGATATCAGCTATTGAAGATCTGATCAGAGTCGATGGATCGGATGCGGAAACTTTGATTAATCCTTCCCCGAATTGTCTCCAATCTAAGCTTGATCCAGTCTTCACGGAGATAGTTGGTGTTGTTGATTTGGAATTGGACATGGATTTGGTGGGTACTCCAAGGAGCGTAGCGTAGCGAGAGAGAGTCGGAATCCGAGCATCGATTCGTCGAAAGGAAGAAGAGCTGCGTTGATGCCACTTTTGGAGAAGCCATTGAAAGCGTT